AGCTGTTATGTTTGGTTCACCTAAAAATCGTATTTATTTAAAATCTTATTCAATTTTAGACAAGCGATTGTGATTTTAAGATGATTTCTTTTAAAAAAAAAAGAATCTTTAGTCTGGGTTTTATTGTTATAAACATTTATATTTTAAAATACCGCAAAGTTTATCATTTTAATTTTTTTCGTCTTGAAAAAAATTGAATTTTTTTTTACTTGAGCCAATTTACACAGAATAAAAAATACTATTAAAATAGCAGCCATCATTATAGACACAAAACACAGGGATAATCTATTATACACATTATTATTGAGGAATAACAAGATACAATCACTTAATTTTCAACTGTTTCAGAAAAAAAAAACTTATAAAGTAAAGGCAATCTTCACCATTATTTAAAAAACCAATGGTTTAATCACCAATGTAATTATAACTAAACTTTTTAAAACAAGAAACCAAATTACTTATTAATAATTTGTAAAAGAAATTATAAATAAATCACTCTTTTATGATGATGTGAAGGTAGAATAGTATATTACATATAAAATATATGCAAATGCTTGTGATGTTTAAATAAAAAATAATTTTTAGAAAATTATATAAAAAATAATGACTGTAGATGATAGCAAAAAAACATAATATTTGATTTTCAATCAGGAATATTTCCTTTAAAAAAATAACACATTTTTTATTTTTAATAATATAAAACTACAAACCTGCAAGATCGATTAATGAGAATTTTCCAAATAAAGCTCCATCTTTCCCATGACCTCTGACAAAAAAAAAGTCAATTTTATAAAAAACACAGATATAAGAATTGTGTGTTTATATATATATATAATATATATATATATATATATATATATATATATATATATATATATATATATATATATATCAGGCTTGGTCGGGAAGCGGGTGCGATTGCACTCGATAATTGACCACGGAAATAATATTTAATTGCGAAAAACCAGCCAGATTTTTAGTCGTTTTGAGAACATTTCAAAAACAAACAAAAAAGGGCAATAAGATTAACTGGACCGATAAGAGACAGTTAAAAAAAAAAAATAGCTTTAAACGCAAAAAAACTTTAGGCAAAATAAATACTATTAGAGCAAATATTTTTGAAACGTCGCTCTTTTATAATTTTTTTTATAAAATTAAGTGACATTTTTTATATAAAGTAACAACTTACTATATGATTGTTTAATAAGGAAACTTATTCTCCGATTTATCAAAGAGTATATATAATTTTTATTTATATACTTATGTCTTATTTACAGTGCTGGATTTAGGAGGTGGGGGGGGGGGGGGATAGAAGGGCTATAGCCTCGGGACTCACAATGTTAGGGGCTGCAAAATAGTCAAGAGGACCATTAGTATTTTTTTCAGTCTTTTTTACGCTGTGGCACATAAAAAAGGCGACCAAAATAATGCAGTCCCCGGCTCTGAAAAGTCCAACAAGATTCAACCAATAAAACTAACGCTAGATGATTTATTTATAAATAAAAAAGTTTTTTCAATAACTGTTTTATGCTTCGTGTAGTTTGAAAAGTTTAACACATTTGAAACAATTTTTCTTAGTAAGATGAGCAAATGAAATAATTAAATCATTGAGTTACTGTAGAAATTCAATTAACTAAATAGAAATTAACTAAAAACGTTAAATTACTATGTGAGGAGGAAGCGGAACTGCTTCACAATGCTTCTGATGATGTTTTAGTAAGTGGGCTTTATAATTTTAATTAGTATTTAAAACAGAAAAAAGTAACTTTAACTTCAAGTATAACGAGTTTGTAAGAATGGCTGAAGCAAAAATAATTGAAGTTAGTAAACCAATTTCTAAGAACTTAAAGGGATCCCTAAGTGCTATAAAGATATGATCTCATATGAAAGAGCATTAAAAAAAAAATGTTTGATGTATATTATTTTTTCTAAAACGTAATAATGAACACACACTAACAAATTTAATTTTCAAAAAAACGCTTTTCTTTGATTAAAAAAAATGTGTCTTGTCCAAAGTTTATTGACTCTATTGCCTCAAAAAACTAACGTTAGTACATCAAATTAAAAAAAGTAGACAAAATGTCATTATTGCAAACTTATTAGTTGGTAATTAAATTTAAAAGTAAAGTCGTTTTTTTTTTTCAACTAACACATAATTACTTACAAGAATAAGTTTTGTAGCATTTTGTGAAAATATATTTGTTATTAAATTTTTTTTAATAATTTATATATTTGTGTTATAAAGGCAATTCCACGGCTAAAAATGAATAGAAGTCAAATTTTAAACTCTTTTTAGTCAATTAAAAACATGAATATTGACTTAGACATATGAAAGTTTATTCAAAATATTTGCTTTTAAAAAAAATAAATTTATTTCAGTAATTTTTATGGTTTCAAAAGTGACGGTTACTCTCATTTTCGCTTGATAAAAAAAATAATGATTGTAAAATGTTTAAGTTAAATTAACATTTATGTTAAATTGCTATATTAATTTTTTTGGTTAAACTAAGACAGGGCTCGAATTAACGCAAAAAAATGTAATCGCGAATAAATTTTTTTTTTTTTTTGCTCTCTCTCCCCCCCCCCTTTCTCTTATAGCTCGCGCCGATGTGCGGTAATAGGGGGAAAAATTTATTGTCAATAAATCAAAAAACATCGTCAAAAATTTAATAAAAAATTTGATACACCTTTTTTATAATTTATTGTTTCTTGAATAAAGGACTAATAAAAGTTTAAATATAATTAAGTTTTTCATTTAAATGGTTGATGTTTTTATTCAATTTTTCTATTTCAAGTTTTCCAATAAAAGATAAAACAAAAAACTGTTTGAAAAAAAAAACTAATAAAAAAGAATTAACTAATAATATATTAATTAATAATTATATATTAATTCTTTTTTATTAGTTTTTTTTTTTTCAAACAGTATAAAAATGCAAATAAAAGTCAGTAATTTTTTTGCTCTAACGTTTTTAAGCCTTATTTTAAACATGAAGTTTTGATAAACAAAGATAAAAACCAACTTTTCAACTTTTCGCTTTAACGACCTTGTAAAAATTTTCCACGCAGAGATTTAAAGTAATTTAAATTCAAAAATGTTTTACGTTGAAAGAAAATCTCCGCGCGAAAGAGCATCAATTCATCTATCTATTCAGAATAATAAATTTTGTGTGACGTTCTTTATGATAAAAACATTACTTTTAAGAATTGCTAAAAAAAAATGCTAAGCTAGAAAAAAAGTAATTAATCAACCAAAAAAAAAAACAGTCGCAAAAAGATTTTCTTTTAAGAAAAAACTAATCACAAAAGTGTGTGTAGCAATCGTGATCACGATACGCTTAATATGAGCCTTGTAAGACTTTTTTATAAGTTCTAAACTATTTAAAACTATTACTTAATAACTTTTTTTTATTAACGTCTTTCAACCGAATGCTATTATAATGTTTTTGCAAAACTAATTAAAAAAACTTGATTAAAACTTAACTATTTAATCGCGACTTTTTTTTACTTGAAAATCGAAGTAGATATTCTATAGTTGTTGTGACGTACTAATGTGATTTTTAACGACTAACAATCGAGTTTCAATGGTGAAAAAATAAAATCAAAGTGGAGTTGTTTTTTAGTGATTTCGGCAATTGCTTTTTGTTAGCATGCATTTATTATTACAATTTAGTGAAAAAGAAAAAAAACTTACATATTTTTTTTTTATGCTCTTTCATATGAGATCATATGTTAGGAGCACTTAGGGATCCCTTTAAAAACTTTCTTTCTTAAGGGAAAGAATCAGTTATTGGGTACACTAAAGAAAATCGATTAGTGGTTAAAATTATTTGTATTAACTTTGATGACTATTAATAATTTCATTAAAAACGCAATTATTAATGAAAGTATTTTTGTTTACAAAATCAATTGCACAAATTGCTTTAAAAGATTACATTTGAATAAAATACACATACATAAAATTACATGTATAAAAAATACATACATAAAAATACAATATATACATAAAAAATACATTACATACATAAAAAATACATCCCTTATATAAAAAATAAAAATATACTAATAAAATCTATAATATATTCACAAAACATTGACAAGTTAAAAAAGATAAATTTAAACCATCTATTTTTGTAAACAAATGTAGTTTAAAACATTTATAGCTTTGTAGATGTGGCTCCGAAAATTGAAATAATAGTTCGATTGATAGTATATTCTTAAAACAATTTATGCTAGAAATCTCAACAAAAACATAACAAAACTCAAATAGTACAATTTTTAAAAATATTTCAACAGAATACTCTAGAAATTTCAGTTAGTATTTTTTGCACCAATAGAATTAGTCGTTCGTAGATTTAGCGGGTTTTTTGTGTTTTTTTTTTTTATTTTTCCGCACAAGATGTTTGAGAACATTTAAGTTTATGTATGTTTCTATGAATGTCCGTAAACAAAATATTTCAAAATTTATAATAAAACAATGAATTTAATTAAATGTTATCAAAACGACTAAAATATCTGGCCGGCTTTTCGCAACTAAATATTATTTCCGTGGTCAGTTATCGAGTGCAATCGCACCCGCTTCCCGACCAAGCCTGATATATATATATATATAAAATTATTATTTACATTTTTGTCTGAAAGATATATTTTACGCTTGTATGTATGTGTGTATGTATATATTTTTGTATGTATGCATGTTTATGCATACATACAAACATATATAAAATTCTAGGCATCCTAAAACACACTTTCCAGTCTCGTGATGCTTCTTAATGGAAACAACTTTACTCCACCTACATCCGTCCTTTACTTGAGTTTGCAATTCCAGCTTGGAACCCTCATTTGGTGAAGGATGAACAAACTATTGAGCTAATACAACGCAGAGCCACAAAAATACCAGACAAATTGAAAAATTTAGACTACAAATCCAGATGTTTACAACTTGGCCTATCTACTCTAGTTGAACGTCGCAAACGAAGTGACCTCATCAAAAATACAAAATTGTTAATAACATCAACTGGCACTTTCCCCACATCACAATTCCACCATGAGCAAACCACGGAGAAAGACTTCATTGTGAAAAGTACAGCAACCATTTAGCTTGCTTCCACTTTTTTAATAATCACATTGTCAATACATGGAACATGCTACCAGATAAAGTAATCAATTCTCCAACTGTCAACAGCTCTAAAGCAAGCCTCAATAAGCTCTGTTACTACAGCTCGCAGCTTTCCTTAGTGAAAAATTGCAATATGAGCTTCACAAAAACTAACTGTAATCTGACAATCTATGATTTGTATTTTGTCAATTATTTTTACTTTTGTTGTAACAAATATATACAATTACTACTACTATATATACATACACACATACATTATTATTTACATTTTTGTCTGAAAGATATATTTTACGTTTGTATGTATGTGTGTATGTATATATGCATGCAAGTTTATGTATATATTTATATACAAATTTGAATATACCATATAATATTTTAATAAGTAATTCAATGCTGTTACTCATTCGTAAGTGACACGGTACTCACAGCAGCCATTACACCTGAATTAATGGCGAGAAAGAGTGGCAGCACTTTTTGTATCAGAAAATGTGAACGAAAGTGTATGCAAAAATCTAATTTATGTAAACTTCAAATTATGTAATGTTAAAACATAAATTAAGTTACAGTTTAAATTTTACTTTAAGATTGCTTTGTGACAACATCTCCTTAATTTTGATTTATAGCGTTTATTTATTGCTTTATGAAGTCTTTTGTTTATTAATACTTTTAAAACCTTCATTGAACAATACGCCTTAGTGTCTAAAGTGGTAAGGTTGCAGCATTTTGAAGTGGAATGACGTAGTTCAAATCCTTGCTTTTACACTTTTTTTAAAATTTTTTCTTCAATTTTATATAATAAAAAACCAAATATCTTTGAAGTTTATAGGTATTTTTATTTTTATAAAGTTTTACTTTTATATAAAAATTGCATTGTGGTAAAATCTCCTTAACTTTGATTTGAAGAGTTTTGTAAAGTTATTCATTGCATTCCATTTTGTTTTTTAATTAGTGTTAAAAATTGGCAGTTCAGTGTGTCTTAGTGGTCTAAGTACAACATAAGGGTTCAAATCCTGCTGCTTGCTTATTAATTTTTTTAAATCTTTTCTAATTTTATAAATACAAATTAAAACATTTTAAAGTTCTATTGTTGATATATAAAGATATATAAAGCTATAACAAACAAATAGGAGAGAGTTTTTAAAAAGCAATAAACATCAAAACAGCAAAGAATTTTTTTTGCGCTTATGTCATGATAGAGATACTTAAGTTATTAATGCGATTAGGTAATTAGTAGAGCCCTGCGAATCGTCAGTTTTTGTTTCAAATCGTATCTCGAATCAAAGCAGGTCTTGATTAGCGATTTGAATCACATTTCGAATCAACATTTTGAAGTCTAAATTTAAGCATTTTTTATTTAATAACATATATTTCAAAATAAAATGAAACAATTGAATAATCTCTTTATTGATGCTTCTTGCCCTTGTTAACCTTTTTAATGACTGATTAAAAAGGTATTTAAGGATAAGTAACCTTATTTTGATAACGCCAAAGCATATAATATCTAAAATACCCATAACAAAAACAAAATAAGTAAGGATTCAATTTTTGAAAATTATTCGATTATTGAAAAATAAAATAAAAATTAATTCTCATATTTAACCAGGTAATGTTTTCTTTTTATTATACCTTTTATTAAATATTGTTCCTTTTATTAAATATTGTTTGCGCACCTTTTATTAAATATTGTTTGCGCACCTTTTATTAAATATTGTTCAATATGCAATTTTTTTTGCTGAAATATGTCTTTTATACCTAAAAGATCTTTATTCTGAGATTATATTTTATTCTACTAGAAATAAAATTCCTTGTAAACATTAAAAATCTATTCAAAACTTTGTTAAAGTTTTTTAGTAATACGCTTAAATAAAAAAATATTATATAAAATCACTGGTAAAAATATTAGCAATTGCACAGTTTTTAATCGTACAATATTAAAATTTCCAGTTTATTACTCGCTGACTTTTTAAAAAGAAAAAATAATTATTTGAAAAACTTTAAATTACATATTTGAGAAAAAAAAAATTAAATATTAGCATATTTTATAATCTTTTTTAAATGCTTAGTTATGTTTTTTATTTGTTTAGAATAGACAAAACGCGACAAGCGTCGAGAAAATAAACAAATGTTTTTACATTTTAAAAAACGAAACATTCCAAAACATTTTTAAATAATAACATTTCTACATTAATGATTTAAAGTAGTTTTGCAGTAATTAAGTAAATTGGTGCAGTTAATGTCGATAAATATGAAAAGCAAATAAAAAGAATTTAATGACTTCAAAAATCAAGTTGTGCTTAGGCGTCGCGCAGTTTTTATTCATCACAAGGCCTGTTTAAATATTTTTAAAATTATGCTATAAATTATTTTTTTATTCATAACTTTAAAAGATAGACAATATGTACTGTTTTTCTACCGCTTACTTAAAAATATTGAAGTAAGGTATAAGTATAGATATCATCGGTGTATAATAAACTTAACAAGACCCATATTTGACAGGTCCAGAATGCAAGTATAAACTAATTTTCAAATAAGCTTACCTTTTTCGTAAGATAATTTGAAAGATAGCATGAGACCGAGATGAATTTTGATTGGCAGATGTGGTTCCAGATGTTCTATATATGGTATAAAACAAAATAAAAAAATTAATATTCATATTTAAAAGATTCGTTTTTAAACTTTAAATTTTATTATAAAACTTATATAAATATTATAACATGGAATAGAAATTTGCATAAAAGAAAAAAAAATGACTATAAGCAGAGTGACCTAAATTTATTACCATTCAAATAAACATTTAAAAAACAGACAAAACCAAACAAAATCACACCTTGTTTTCATGCCCTGCTCAAGAAGCTTTAGTACCTCTTGCACATTATTAACAACAATTTCTTGCAAGTTGACAACCTAGAAATAAAGAATTAAACATCAAAATATTGATATCACTTAATAAAATCTGTCTAAAGAGTAGGTTTATATTAAAGATGCCATGAATATTCGGCAACTATTCAGTATTAGACAACATTTTATACTATTCGATATTCTGTCAAATATTGCAAACTATTCGGCTGAATACCGAATATTGAAACATGAAAAAAATCTCATTAGAAATAAATTATATTACTATATATTACTATAATAATACAATAAACAGATTAATCAAATAATAAATATATTATATGTGGCATGTGTTGATAGCTTTTCCTCGTATATTATATCTGCTTCAAAAAATAGCTGCTCACAATATACACTACTACCTGGAGATACTAGGTAAATCTTAGCAAATTCTGCTAACCACCACTTGTAAGGGTCTGCTTTCCGATTTAGGTGAACAGCTTTCATGAATAAATCAATTTCATTTTCTGTTGAACTTTTCTGTTCGACATCTTTATCTGTGTACTTGTTTTCTGTAGCGACCTCCTCAAAACAATTCCAGAAATTATTGTGTACCTCAAATGTTTTATCATTTTCATTGACATATTTTTATTTCGAAGTATAGATGAGTCATCATTGGTGCTACTAAACGTTTCAAAACCTTTTTCAGAGCTTCAAAAGAACTTTTTGTTTTGCTCTTAGTGTTTTTTCTATAACCAAAAAATTAGTTTTGAAGCGCCAAGTGATAAATAAAACACTTAGCAGAACCATATTCTGCATCTTGTACACCTTTTACCATATTGGTCCACTGTCATGGACAAAAAAATGGATCCTGCTATGTGAAATGCTCCATTTTTCTGCAATAATATTGAAGTCTTTTGATATTGGTACCAGTATGTGAACAAAAAAATGGCTTTGTTGCTAAAATAACATGTTCAAGAATAAAATCTGAAGATATCCAATGCTCAGTAAAACTTGAGAAATTTTGATTGTTGTCATAAATTTTGGTTTGATGTCAGATGTCATGGATGTTGCTCTTGCTTGTGACATACTAGCTTCAATTTTAGTGCAAGTTCTATTAAATATATCAGGGATAATTTTCTCAGTCATGAAAGGTGCGACAAAGTATTTTGTATTGTGATACTGCCTCTTCCATAAGCTTGTTGAAGCCAACTTGTTCAACAAGTGATAATGGTTCTTTGTCTGAGGCAATCATTTCTCCACTTAAATAATGATATTTTATTGATTTTGGGTCATTAATATCCCAACACAATATCCTTTCAGTTGTTTCTTTAGGAGTTAAATGTTTCTTTTTTAATATACCTGTAACTGCTGGTATATTAGATAATGAATGAACCATCATTTTTGATAAGATAAATGAATGAACCATCACTTTTGCTTCCTCTTGCCAGCGGAGTTTCAGTTAACTTAGCGCACTGCTCAGAATGCTTGTTTTGAAGGTGGTTTTTTAGAGAAAGGTGGTTTTTCAGACAAGTTCAGCTGGAAACAAAAAAGAGTATTTAAACTTAACTTAGAGTAAATAAAATACCTACTGTGCAAAAAAAAAAATAGGAATAAAAGAATTAGTTACTTATTTTTTTTCGCAAGCAAAACAACAATCGAATACTAAGTCTTTTATGTTTCAAATTATTTTCTAAATTGTTTTAAATTGACTTTTTGATTTAAATAGTTTTTAAGAATAATTAATTGTTGACATATTTATACGGTTTTTAATAAAAATATTTGAAGTTGGTAATTATCGAATTAATTAATAAATTATCGAACTTGTAAATAAATAATTTACATTTAGTATATTCAATACATTTATTTACAAATTCTAGTGACAATTTATATTATAAATACATTAACTACTAATATAAACGCAATTACCACTAAATGCTCTAAAGCTTTAGCTAACAACACAGTTACCTAAGTGCTCTAAACTATAATTACATTTTTTGTTTATGTATCTTACATAACGGGTTGTAAGAAATACAACCTGTAAGATACAAAGTTTGATGAAAGAAATAGTCTAAAAATAACATGCCCAAATTTGCAAATAAAACAAATACGCATAATTACCCGTAGTGTGACTACGGTATTTTACTTATTCAGGTTGGAAACTGTCACCAATGAAATTTTCTAAGTAATACCAAATATTTGGCAGAGAGTCAACCCAAATATTCGGTATTCGGCAAAATCACTATTCTTGGCATCTCTAGTTTATAATAGGTGAGGTTTGAGGTTCTAGTAAAAGAGCAACAAAGCCAATAAGCATTAAAAAACAAGTAAAAATTTTATAGGAAAAAATTTTCTAGATGATAATGCTAGAAGAAAAAGCAGATATAAACAATATTAGTAAACTAATACCTGAACTTGAGCTTTACCATCTTCAAGAACTCGCAATTTCTTTCTTTTATTTAACAAATCAAACACCTATTGTTTTAGAAATATTCGCATAATATATAAATTTTATATATATATATATTTTTAAACTTACTTTTCATTTTATAATTGCATTTATTACAAGTAAATAAAAAAAGACAAACAAGTAAAACTTGTTTTATTTCTGTTTTTACTTAATGTTTTCTGTTTTTTTTTTTTTTTTTTATAAATAAGAAAACTGAGTAAAAGGTAATTTTTTTTAAATTTTTTTTCTTTAATACTTAAAATACCTAAATACCTATAAGAAAATGTTCAACAATAAATAACTAGATGAAAAATTTAAAAGCACCTTTCCACTATAAATTTCAAAGAAGCTTGCAGAAACAGCAACATCAAGATTTTTATATTTGCTTTTTTGCAATTTAAAGATGTCAGCAGCTAAAAAAATAGTGAATTTCACTATAAAAAGCTAAAAAAAAAGTGAATTTTACTATATTACTTAAAATGCTAAGAAAATATCTTGATATGTCTGTAAAATCATGTAGCCATTTAGTGATTATTTAAAAAAATTAAAATACATGTTACCAGCTAAAGCATAAATTCCAGTACTACAGTCTTGGTGTTTTCCTTGAGTAAAGTCTCCACCCATAGTCTAATATAATATGTGTATATATATATATATATATATATATATATATATATATATATATATATATATATATATATATATATATATATATATATATATATATATATATATATCATTATTTTATAAACATCAATAAGTCATTTTATAGATACATAGATAACAGTCATGCTAGAGTCGCTAACATCGCCCAGGCTGATCAATTTAAGACAATACTTAATCAACAGCATCCAAAAATACAATATACTATCAAATTTGAAATTGACAAAAAAAAAAAAAAAAACACTAAATTTTCTAGACATATGCATAATAAATTAAAAAAATGATAAATATGAATTTAAAATACGCAGAAAAAATGCAATTACTATGGTTTGATGTTGCCTTAACATTCAAGTTGAGGCAACATCAAACCATGACCCACAAATTTTAAATGGAATATTCAAGGGTTTCGTACATAAAGCATTTAATGTATTCAGTCAGAAATATATAGAAAATAAATTGAATTCCTTATTCAAGTATTTGTCAAAAATGGCTACAAACAGTCCAATCTCATAAAAATCATAAAAAAAATAAAACTAAAAAACAGAAAATCACTACTAAAAACTAAATGAAAGTGACAACTAAAAACAAAGAAAACATCACCAGTACATATCCAATGATTTCACCTATATACAAAAAGCATATAGGTGAAACAAAAATGCAAATAAAAACATGCATGCAACAACACAAAAACAGAAGGATAGGAAATAAAACAGAACGATCTGCATTAACCACACACATAAGACATTGTGCACTACAAATTAATTGAGACAGTCACTCTAAAAGTTGATGCTAAAAAGTTTGATAGGAAAGTTCAGGAGGCACTTGAAATACAGTACCACAAATATGCCCCTCAACAAAATGGTATCAATTTAGATGAGGGACAATATGTGTCAACAAAATTTTGGACACCATTTCTGGCACACTTACATCAGAAAAGGATGAAACCATCCCATTGACATAAAATAGAACTGCCATTTTAAAAATAGGATAAACAAAAACAAACAAAAAAATTTTAGGCTGAAGATGCTGGTCACAACAATTCAGCAAAAACTTCATTTCAAAAATAAATTTACTATCGAGAGAAATTCGTATTTATTGATGTTTATAAAATAATAATTTACATACATGATGTCTACATTAAATATATATATATATATATATATATATATATATATATATATATATATATATATATATATATATATATATATATATATATATATATATATATATATATATATATATATACATATATACAACCTATCAATGCTTTTTTTTAACATACAAGCGACATAAAAAGCGACAAAAAAAAGAAGTGAAAAAAAAGAAGAATGATGAATAAAGCGATTGCTGCCCTATCCCAAACCCTCAGTCGATGTAGCAGCACTCCACTGCGAGTCAGGCTATTTGTCAATCGATGTATGTACTAAAGCCCCCAGCAGCAGGCTATTTCAGTATGACGTCAGGTTGCTTACTTTAGTACGCAATACTATTTGTGCATATATATATATATATATATATATATATATATATATATATATATATATATATATATATATACACAACCTATCAATGCTTTTTTTTAACATACAAGCGACATTAAAAATCAAGCGACATTTTAATGTCGATTAAAAGTTAAAATAATTAAAATAATGTGGAAGTACATTAGGTTTTATTGTTTTTTGAAAAACCGCAATAATAATGATTAGAAAGTTTTTTTAATTAATAGTGTTTTTGTTTTTGTTTCTTTATTGTTTTTTAATATTTTTAAAATATGCGAGGAGTGTTGCTGTATTAATTGACAAATAGGTAAAAAATGCAAGGAGTGTTGCTTTTTAAATATAAAACATGTGCTGACTGTTGCTATATCGATTATATTATAGCCTACATCAACTGAGGGTTTAGTGTGGGCAAGCAATCTATCATAAAAAACTTGATAACTTGGCTAAAGTTTTTCCCATATATTGATAATTTGTTTGTTTTAAAAAATATGCCGAAAAAAAATTTTGAATTTCAACTTTGATTTTTTCTAATTTATTTGTAGTGAATCACATATAGCAATGCAACCAAATGTATTTCCTGAAAAGGTTTGATGTATATATATGTATGTATATATATATATATGTATATATATATATATATATATATATATATATATATATATATATATATATATATAAATGTATAAAATATTAAATATCAGTGCTAGCTTTGAAAGATTAAAAAAATTATTACATGTGTTTTTCCACTTCCAGTCTGTCCATATGCAAAACAAGTTGCCATTCCCTGTTGAAATATAGCATCAACTAATGGCTTTGCAGTATAGCGGTATACTAATTCATTGGTAGCAGATTCATCAAATGCATAATCGAAACTTTAAAATGCACAAAACTTAATAGATTATTAAAAAAAGAAGAAAAATTTTTTATATATTTTTTGTTTATTTTTTGATATATTTGCAGATCAGATTATATTTAAAGAGAAAAATAACATCGAACTATAAAAAAAATTATTTTTTTACTCACCGAAAACTGTGGTTATCCAAGTATTTTGTAAGATCAACTTTGAGTTTGCATTCATGTACCTTACAAAAATTATTTAAACAATATAATCATTAAAAAATATTTTTTTACAAAAACAATAACATTTATACCCAAACCCTCAATATTTAAATATTTTAAAAAATATATAACTAAATTGTGCTTACAACAGTAGTCTCTTTATTAGGACAGGTAACTATGTCAATTTCTTTTCTTGCAATTTCTACAAAACAAATGGAAAAAATTATTATATATAATAATAGAAATAAAGTTATTTTGTAAAAGATAACAGAGTACATTAAAAATATACTTACCTTTAAGGACAACTCTGTATTTTAGATTTTTTTTTTTTTTTGCATTTGTTTGTTGCTTTGTAATAAAACAAAATTTCTTCATTATTAATATATATTTTATATTCTCTCATTTAAAAAACGGCTAAAAAATCCAAAATACAGAGTTGTCCCGCTTCGAGGTAAGTTGTCCTTATTTCACCTGCCCCATATAAATACATAAAAACATACATACATACATACACATATACATACATACTTATATACATACATACATACATAGATACATACATACATACATACATACATACATACATACATACATACATACATACATACATACATACATACATACATACATACATACATACATACATACATACATACATACATACATACCAACATATATACAGTTGTGGCTAAGAAGATTCAGCCACTCATAATTATTATAGATAATAACATGTAAATGCAAAATGTGTACTAGCAACAATCACAGGTTCCGCAAGTTAAAAAGTTTGCAGCACACAAAGGCAATGTTTGCAGGCTACCTAATTCATGCTTCAATAATTCAGCTTCAATACCTAATAAACTATATTTTCTGCAACTATATTTTCTGTCTTGCAACCAAATTCACCTAATTTAAACTCCATAGAAAACTGTTGAAAAAAACTGATAATAGTGGTTTCTAAACAGAAGCAAACCTCACTAGCAGATCTGAGAAAAGCCAGCCAAGTACTCAAACATATTTTATACTGTATTTTCTTTATTATTTTAATTATTAATAAAGTTGTGTTTGCAACTTAAAATTTATAATTGAATGCTTACATGTAACCTTATAATTAATTATCGTCAATTAATGATAACTAAATTAATGGGGAAAAAAACAAAAACAAAATAACCTTTTTTATTCAATGGTCTTTTGCGAACACAGACACAGATTTGATGATCAACAATCTAAAATAAAAAACTATAACTATAATAAAATTTCAAGTTGAATAAAAAAATAAGACAATTTTACAAAATCAAAATATGTATATTATTATATAATTTATATTACATCATTAATGTATTATTCATTTAGTGTACATTACTTAACAAAACCAGACAAATTGATTTATTTATGAAATGGTTTTAAATCAGGTTTAAAGTTAGATAATTCATCAATATTGATTTTTTTACAGATGCATCAAAATAAACAATTGTTCAATATAACTATATTTATATATAAAAAAATTAAATATGTAAAAAAATATTTTTAATATATATAAACAGTTAAACTATTTTTGCTTTAAACTTCAATTTTTTTTTTAAATTATAGTAAATAATTTCTACAATATTTAAAACTTAAAATTTCTAAAAATATTGATTTTGATTCCTTTTTTCTCAAAAAAAATAAAATTATATTGACATTGAAAAAAAAGGAGGTAAAAATATGTGAAACAGCAAAAAAAAAATGATACGCTTTCATGCTTTTAAAAAAAAATTTTAAGTTCTAATTTTTTAGTCAAGTTGATTTTTATTTTTTTGATCAAGTTGCCTGGTTTTGTTGTGAAGTTTGACATTATAAGCAATTATTTTACATTTTTTTTTATTATTATTTGTAATATATTAATTTGTTATATAATAGTATTATCTTTATTGTGTAACATTATTAGCAATTATTTTATATATTTTGTATAATTATTTGTAATATATTAATTTTTTTATATAACAGTATTACCTTTATTTTATACAACTGTTTGTTATTTAGTAAATGAATAAATTTAATAATAATTATAATTATCAATTTTGAACAAAATTAAAATTTTTCTAAAACTTTTTAATTTAAAGCAATAAACTTTTAAAAGTAGTAAAAATTATTTATAGTTATCTAAAATCAGACAAAGCTCTGTAAAATACATAATGCATACATACATTGTCTGACATACTAATCTGACTTAGTTCTCCCAACGTTGCTTGGTATTCACTAAAAATACAAGCTAAATTAAATAATTTTTTTCATAAACTCATAATTAGTTGTTGTGAGTCAAAAGTTATAAATTAAAAAGTAAAAATTATTTAATCAGCTGTTTTTTATGAGTACTGTGTTTCATTTGTAATTGTTTTTCCTATTGTATACCTAATTCTGTATACCTAATATTATATTTATTAAATATTTTTTGTATGATAACTGTTTGTATTTCATGTAGGTTGTTATGTTTTGTCAGTTAACTGTTTCCTGTCTATGTATATTATATTGTTGGAAAACTACTTTTTATTAATATGCATTTACTATTACTTTTTTTTTTATTATTTCTGCTAATTTATTATTATTTTTATCAACAATATTATTTAATGATATTGACATAAGACACGGTTTAAAGTATTTGCATCAATATGTGTCACATGTTCATTTAGATGATATGACAGGGTTGAAAAAGGGTTTCAAATAAAACAAATTAAAAAAAAGAGTAGTCTAATCAACCCCATTGGAGCCTTGGGAAAGTAAATTTGATAAAAAACAAATATATATGTGATTCAACACTTATTATTAAAATTACTTTTATTATATTTTTTACTTGCTAAGTGATTTTCTACTAATTTGTAATTGCTCTGTTCTTTTAAGAGCACTCTTTTTGTAGAATACAAAAAATTATAAATTGTTTAAATATATATATATATATATATATATATATATATATATATATATATATATATATATATATATATATATATATATATATACATATATATATAAATTTATTTATCAATTACTTTATAACTTTAAAAAACTTTTTACAGTGATGAGACCTGTAAGATATGCCCCATTTGATCCAGCAATAGTTGAATTATAAGCTTTTTTTTTTCCTTTATTCGACAACTTATCACACAAGCCAGCAAGCCAAAATGCAACGCTACTTACATTATTTTCAGTCATGCATGGCAATTAGTCAAAATATACTTGCTAAGGTTTGTAAGTTTTATTTCCCCTAAATGCTCTGCCAAATTTCATCTTCTGGATAACTTTTTTTCTGGGTTTCCCAGAAGAAAAAAAATTTTGAACTTAATATTGCGCATTAAGTCAATCTTCCTTATTCCGTCCTAGTAGACCACCATAAAATATCTATCCTCAAAGTCATTGTTAAGCTGAAGAAGGTGTTTTAGAAAAAAGTTTCATATACATTTTAATGGTTTGCAAAGCTTTTTTTTTTTGCATTTTTTAAATTAAAACTCTGCAAATATATATTTAGAAATACAAAAAATAAATTTTAAATAAATTATCAGTTATTAGGATGTTGAAAAACAGTAGCGGTATATATTGCATATTGTTACTTAATTCTAATTTGAGTAATATAAATTTAATTACTTAATGACAATTTTTACATATATGTAAAATATATATAAAAATATTGTATATTTTATGATCCATTCTGTTGTATTTTATATTATAAAAAATAATATTTAATAATGCAAGTGCAGGGCATTTTGGAAAAGCTTGTGAAAGTTGAATTCTTTATCTGTTGGGGTACCCTTTCCAGATATTTTCTCCAAATAGACTTCTAACCAGTGGGGAAGTTGGTCGCAGAATTTACAAGATAATGGAGTCATGTAACTGCGATCAACATTTTCCTGTATTTCCCAGAGGACATCCAAAATTGGACGTCCTCTGGGGAATACAGGAAAGCTTAAATGCAGAGGTGGTATGTGTTATGCTGATAGCAGAAACTAAATATCAAATGTGCATCATTAGGGAGCTGGTTAACATTTGGAACAAGGCAGACTTTGATGAAAATTTAATTATTAGTGAACAGTCAATTAAGTAAGAGACTAAATATAAAAATCTCTTGTCATAAAAATTAAGTATTCTGTGTAACAAATTTATCTGTGAAATATTTTTACATATAAATTTTTACATATAAGTAAGCTATATTTTAAAATGTTGATATTTTTTTAATGATGTAACTTTTTAATTTAAGAATAGAATCATTTTTCTGTATACCCAGTATATTAAAGTTTTAAAGATTAGAACTTTAGAGGTGAGCAAAGAAACCATGAGCCAACACACTTTTGAGTTCTTAGACAAGACCAATGTTTTGTTTCCTATACACAAGGAAGATATTTTCAAGTTAATTAGCAAAGATACTAGAAGGAGTATAGAGGCTGTAAACAAGGATTTAGTTTTTTTGAAGAGATTTTTGTATGGGGACATGGTCAAGATGTCCTACAAAAATGACAAAACATTTGCTGAAATAGTTTCTGAAGGTAAGAAAAGGATGAAAAACCTGCTAAAGAAGATGGTAGAAGAAGAGCAACAGGAGGAGAGACACAGGAGGAGAGACTTAGGAGGAGAGACTTAGAGCAATTGCTGAGCAAAAAAAAAGAAAGCTAAATACTGGAAAAAGCAGCAGAAGGTTTGAAAAATTTTGAGCAGGAATTCTCCATTGGGTGTAGTGGTACATATTATGATTCAGACTGAATCATATTATGATTCAGACTCCTACTGCAAATAAAAGTTGTATGATTCAACCAAGATTTAGTCTGAATGATGTTTTAGATAAGTAGATTCTATTTATGACAAGGTAAATAAGTTTATGTATAAAAAAATGAAGTATATTACAAGTATATATAAAACTTCAAGTTAAAACAACTTAAATGTTACATAATTTGAAAATGACAATGCTCTGTTTTTTTTTTAGGTATGAAGTTAGCGTGAGAGCTGAAACAGTATTGTTGTCTTCCCTATTTCAAGCTGGGAGAGTAGATATTGACATGTTGAACATTTCTAAGTTGCAGATGGTAAGAAAAAACCATGAAACTATAGAATATGAAGCACTTATGGTAAAAGAGCAGAACCTGGATAAAATAAAGGATTTAAAACTTGTTCTTCACTTTGACACAAAGTTGGTCAAACAGTAAAGGACAGAGGTCAAAATTTCAGAAACAGTAGAAAGATTGGCAATTAGTATTAGACTCTCCAGAGTCAGGCTCACTTGACTTTCTTCTGAGAATACTTGAAGTACCTTCCTCCAAAGGGAAAGATTAAACACTGGCTATCCCAAATCTTGTGAAATATTATGAATTATCAGACCAGATCACAGCTTGTTGTGCTGACATATTGAAATATTGCAGTTTATTCTCTACCTTGTCCAATTCTTTGGCTAATTTACAGGTATGATGCTTTACTATATAAATTACAGGCATCTTTTTTCTTAAGCAGGTATGATGCTTTACTATATAAATTACAGCCATTTTTTTCTTTTCATTTTTTCTGAGAGTAATGACAGAAAATGATAATAAGAATAAATTTAGGCACCATAAAATGGAATAACAAACAAGAAACAAAGGGACCCAGTCAAACCTTATACAAAAAACATTAAGTTCTTTGGCCTAAGATTGAAAAAGGAGTGAATACACTTTTGCCAACATTGAGAAATTTGACAGACCTTAATTTGCTCTCGGAACCCAATCTAGCAAATGAAAAAACAATGCAGTTCTGCACGACAGCTCTTAAAACAAATATTTTTGATAGAGGTGGCTACAAGTATTTATGTCAACTGATAGCTTTTTACCTCGGGGCAGATTTGTTGAACTTCTGGTTTCTACAACCAGTTGCACATCATGAAACAAAATTTATGACTGATTCATTGTATCTGTTAGCAATGCAAATGACCAAGAATTACAACTGGAAAAAAGTGTCTAAACGTGCAACTAAACAAGACTTGACTAGAAAAACATTTAGATTAAAAAAGCACTTTATGGCTATATTTTTGTTTTTGAAATATACTTTTTCCAACAATGATTGAATAATTCTTGCACCACCTAACTTTTTTTGTATTCCGTAGTATTTTATTTTAAAAAACATTTTAAAATAATACAATTATAATAAAGAATAAAATAATTATGAAATTTTTTTCAAAGTTGCAGTAAGTATAGCAGTCAAAATTAATGTATTGGATGATTAACTTTAAGTTAATTTGATTATTTTATAAAAATATTGAATACTACCGGAGTTTCGATAAATGAAAAAAAAAATCATTACAATTTATATGCACGTTTTTTTTAAAACACCTTCCGCTAAACAGTGACTTTGAGCCCAGATATTTTTATAGTGGTCTACTGAGACCAAATATGGAGGATTGACATAATATTGCACGATATTAAATTCAATTTTTTTTTTCTGGGACAACCTATTGCACAGATTTGTTAATAACTTGTATACAATTATCATATCTCAGAAACAAAAAATTATATACATTTTATTAAATGTAAATAAATTTTTGTATAAAACAAATAATATAAAAATTATTAATTAAATATTTTATCAAATATATTTAATATATTAAATCTATAAACTCTTTATTAAATAACATCTTTAAAAATTTTAAGCAAATAATAAATAACATATTGAAAAAAAAAAAGCTACTTTAAAAAATCTTTCATGATGACTTTGATTGAGTTTTAAACCAATGAAATAAATGATTCAATGAAATTCAGCGCCCTTGAATTGTTAAGTTACTCAAAAACTATTAAACAAATTTTTTTTTTTTTTTTGCACAACAAAAAAAAAATACGATGTTTTTTTTGTTTTTTTCAAATTGTATTGCTGTTAAGTATTGTTATGATTGGGTTAAAATAAGTATAAACCAAGAAAAAGTTTTTTTTTTTAATTTTTCTTTGACACAAGTTGAAATTTTAAATTGAAAGTAGTTGCTTGACCTTCAGCTTGATTTGTTTTCCAACGACATAAAAAAAATCAATCCATCAATGAACCTTAACTACTTGTCTGACTTTGAGCTCAGATTTGTATATAGAAGAATGCTTAAACACTTTCAACCAATCATTTAAAAGCATTATAATATTTATATCAATCTTTAGAACAGTATAAACAAAATAGCATTAACATGGTTCCTTAGAAAATAAATTTTCTAAAAAGTCCTGAGCAACAAGTTATTGGTGGTTTATAAAAGGAATCTTATAGCAATAAATTAGCTTCAGTTAGAAAAATTTTAAGAAGTAGTAATTAACAGCTTCTAAAAAAATTAAATCAAAACAAGATCTAAACACCAGATAAAAAATCAAAAACAGCTGCACCACACCGTATAAACATAATTTAAATATAAACAAAAACTAAATCAAATAATTTTAATAAACCGTATATAATTCAAATAAATATAAATTAAAATCAAAACAAATAAGATTACTAAACTGTATAACTGGAATAAAATAAATTTAATATAAAGCAAATATCTACAATATACAGTATCAACTTAAACTAAATTAAAACTAGATGCTGAAAGAATAACTATACTAAAACGAATATATTAACTTACGTATAAAATGAATATAAAACGAATGATATGAACAAACTGTATAAACTAAACTAAGTAGAAATTAAATATGAAACAAATTCTTTTACTAATAACCACATAAATTAAACTAAGTTAAAAACTGCACCAGGTAAATTATCTAGACATCCACACTACTCTCGTTTTCTTCTCTTAACTACCTGCTATAACACTGGACATCATTTTTAATGTAATTTTTTCTCTCCAAGCATTTATGGCTAAATGTGTTTATCTAGTAATTAGACTTACTTGCTCTAGTTGCGAACTTTATATAAAAGTTATAAGTAAACTAGATATAAACAAATGATCTCACTTGAACAGAATAAATTATGATTAAACATAAACTTAGTATAAAACAAATATTTTTGACCACAAGTGACAAGTGACAAATATTTTTGACCACTAGACTTGCTTGTTTTAGTTGCGATCTATATATAAAGCAGTTAAACATATAAACTAAATGTAAGCTAAAAAAAAAATGAACAACTCTATTAAACTGTGTAAATTAAGTATGAAACGAGAAAACACATCATATTGCCTTAATTTTTGCTATGGCTGCGAATTTCAATAATCACAAAATATATGTTATTTTGTCACATTTCTAGATGGGTTCTAAAATAAAATAAATATAAAATATAAATATAAATTTATTTAGTAGTATGAAGGATATACTATTCCCATTTTCTTTTCTTAATTACCGGCTATAACATTGAATATCTGTTAAAAATATTATAACTAGTACACTAACACTTTATCTAATATAATCAATCACTTCTTTTCTCTCAAGCGTTTACGGCTGAATGTGTTCCACTAGTGACTAGACTTACTAGTTGCGAACTTATATAAAAATATAAAAATAAAGATTGAAACAAATAATTCAATCAGATTCATTGTGTTAAAAAAAATTTTTTAATCTATTACATAGCTTGAGTAATCAATAATTAAATCAAATTTAATCAATAATTAAATCAAAAACATTTAGGAAAGTTTTAATTTAAAAGCTAAGAATTTAAGAGTTTTGAATAATGTTTAAAATAGTTAAAAGTTTAAAATTAAAATAAATAAAAATATTCCGAAAAAAAATAATTAAAAACAAACCGTATCATTTTTAAGAACAACCAATTCGGATTGCCAGGATCAAGCTCCATTTTAACTTTCTCTTGTTCATTTCTGACTTCAGATTGTCTGGCTCTTAATATTAAAAATAAAATATTCTATTTCACACAATTTTAAATAAATAGGGATTTATTAAACATTATCATATATAGTAAAATAATATAATTAAAATTATATAATATAATAGAAACTATAATATTATAAAAATTATAATATAAAATAATTATAAAATAACATACTTACCTCCTATCTTCTCTATTCTTTTTTAATCTTTCTACTTCTTTAACACAGTTAGAGCGTCGGTTTTTTGCAGCGTTCACTTTTTAAAAAGTAAATTTTTTAATATAACAAATTAAAATGCAATAAGATCAATTGTTATAGCGCAAATAAATATGAGTTAAAACACACTTAAAGATTTCTGATTTTCTCTTTCGCTAGAAGCTATATTTATATCTTCTGTTTCTTCATTGATTGCCTGCTGTTGACTAAATCCATTTTGTGAGATTTTTGGTGCTGGTGGAGCCATAGCTGCTGGTGGTGGAGCCATAGATTTTGATCTTATGTCTTAAATTCAAAAAAACAATTAAAAATAAAAAAACAAATAAATTCTAAAAATGATGGAAAATTCATTTATTTAAATTCATTAACATTTATTTAGAGGATCATGGCATATAATCTGTGTACTTGCAGCTGGCTAGACAGAATGTATAAATGGATTTTGGGTTTATCTGTTTAAACATATGTAAAGTGTGTATAGCTATAATGTAATTTGGCTTGAGTGCTTACCAACTAATAAGATTGTTTTGCACATGTCCAGTTTATTTCCATACCAAATGCAGTAAACCCACAGACACTGTCAAAATTGGATTAAAATTATTTAAAAAAAAAAAATTGTCAAGATATACTTAAACATTTTTGAAACTTTATCTACATATATCTAAAATTTTGACATATCTTGAATATTTAAACTTAATAAGTAAATTTTAAAAAAAAGGTCATTTGTGACATTTTAAATAGTGGATAGAGTATGAACTTAAAATAAAAGTCAACTTGACCACACAAAAAAAAACTTAGAAACAAGTACACATGCCAACCTATGCTTTGAAAAAAAAAGTTTGAAAAAAGTAATGAACTACAATCATATTATAATACAACATAATCAGAACTGTACAAGGTATTGTTGAAAACTGTACAAAGTATTGTTGAGAACTGTACAAAGTATTATTAAGAACTGAACAAAATATTGTTGAGAACTATACAAAGTATTGTTGAGAACTGTACACAGTATTGTTGAGAACTGTACAAAGTATTGTTGAGCTTTTACCAATAATCTACCTGTAAATTGATTAAAGTAATTTACTAACTTATCAGTAAAATAATGTCAATAAATTTCAGTAAGTGTTGATTTTTTATAAATCCTAATAAATGTTTGAAATATCTTTATATTTTAAAAAGTGCTGATTCTCTCCAAACTAAACTAAGTTTTTATATTAAGTTACTTATATAGAACTGCAAAAATACAAATACACACAAAATAAATGGCCATGAAAAAAAAAAAGATGTTAAAGTCAGTTTTAAATCATCATCATAATTATCTATCGCAAAGTCCTTTTTTTTAAAAAAAAGAATAAATGAATCAAACAATTTTAAATAAAAAGTCAATTATTTTTGAATTCAAACATTAAATTTTTTTAAAAATTTAACACAAAATATGTCTTGTGTTAGCATGGATTCTGTGCTTTAGTTAAATCTCTTTAGTCTGAAAAATTTAGGGTGATTGTCACAAACTAGCAACAGTGCTTGCTTAGTAACAGAAATTACAAGGCTAACTTTTTATAGCCACAGATTTACACTTATAAACAATTCAAGATGTGTCTTCTGAGCAGTTTAAGAAGTGTTTTATAAAAAACCACCAAAAATTATGACTCAGTACACTAGAAGAATAAAGATAGCAGAGATGAATCAGAATTCTCAACGCCAAAACAAATCAAAGATATTTCTGAATTGAAAGTTAAAGCGCATTCTGGCAGCCTAAAAGTCAAAAAATGTCAAACTAATTCAAAAATTTTATATAAAATTGACGAGTTCATTGTCAGAAAAGACTTTTTCAAAGAAAAAACTTTTTAAATAGCAGGCAAACGAGGTTCCTCATATCCTTGCACGACAAGATGGATCAGTTTGACAATTTAACAGCTTCCAAAAATCTAATAAAATAACTAATAAAAAAAGGATTTAAACTTCATCACGTTTCTAGTTACGGCAAAAAATAAATATTTTCACTACTCTTGAGCAAGTCAAATTAGCAACAGATGGTATTTGCTTAAAAGATTAAACTCATTTTACAGTAGAAGAAAAATCTTAAGCTTCAGGTGAACAGATTAAAGCAATTAATCATAATCAATTCAATTAATTAGTTTATTAAAGAAAGTTTGAACCATCATTTCTGTGAAGAGTGTGATTTTGAGCGAATTTTGAGTAGTAGAGGCAAACTATGCTTGAAAGCTTGAACAAATACCTTTACTTTTTAAAATGTTTATTTGATATCAACCTTAAATGTTTACTTAATAATGAATAGGATGAGGTTTTTAGTGTAATTTAATAGTTTGTTTTTTTTATATGATTGCTAAAACCTTGCTAAAAAATTGCTAAAACTTTTTTTTATATAATTGCTAAAACCTTGTGATTTAGGTTTTTTCCAGCAAAACCTGATGACTTGAAACTTGTGCCTCAAAAAATCTAGTCAAAAAAATCTGTTTACTTGAAGACTTTGTCAATTTAACAAGTTTTTTTTGTTTTTTTTTCAAAACATCTTCACTTCCAACAAGGCTGCAAGCAACTACTATTAGAGTTGGAAGTTATTGAAAGAGAAAAGATGAAGTTTAAGAGGCAAGATAAAGATTAACTGACAACTTAAGAATTGCAAATTATAAAACAGAATTATTACTAACTATTATTACACATATTACTGTGATGCTTAATTTTTTTTTTTTAATATTTGATAGAGGATTAACATTTATGATTTTTAATTTGCACATTATTTACTGATGTTACCAGTAAAAAAAAAATTATTTATCACAATATTATTGGCAAAATTAAAAATCTGTAAAAGCTCAACCCTAGTAAATAAAATACTTATTCTATATATGTTAAATAAAAAATTTAATTGTTAAAAAATACAAATGTAAAACATACTTCTTGCTGGTTTTATAGCTGGCGTTGTAAAAGGTGTTGGTTCATTGTCATTCTAAATGCAAGTTTTACAAAATTTTCACATTGAAAATAAATAAAAAATTATTTAGTTGATATTTACATATTTAAACGAATAATAAGAGAGAAAGCATTTTGATGTTATAAGGGAATAATAAGAATCTAAAGAACTCTAATATTGTCAGAGTGCAACAAAAATATGAAGCATTTCGATGTTGTACAAAATGCTTATAAAGCTCAAAATAAATTTAAAACATGAGTTTATTAGTGTAAATTTATGCTGGTTGCTTTTTTTAAAAAAATAATTGCGGTTACAACCTTCTCTCAATTCCTTTACTCCAAAACAAGAACCTTGAGGAACTAGGCCACTGCACAGAGAAACTAGTTGTGCGTGATGATACCAAAGTCATGATAGGGATTGAACTTCTCGCTTACAAAGCAAGTTCTCTATTAGCTACACTGCTAAGATGTTAGTAGTGTAGTGGTAGATATAGTAACAATAATTCAATTGTGAAATACATAAGGCAATATATGAAACACAAAATAATACATGTGGTTTATATATTACATGATATATCTATATATCAAATGAAATATAACTCACAATAAATGAAAGATATCATGGGCCCCCAGGCTTATAAAACAAACCACCTACAAAAAGGCAATCAAACTTCATGCACATTATAAAGTAAAAATAGTAGTCAGCTATTGTAAGGTGTCAAAAAGACAAAAAGCAAGTGGCCAAACTAATTTTGATACATTGAGTGCAGTTTCAAAAAAATTTTTTATAAATACAGAATAAAAACTAGTAATAAGGAACCACTATAGCCAAGGAGGCTACTTTTTTTTTTTTATTATTCATACATAAAATATTATAAAAATTTTGTTGATTGCAAAGACCTATTGGTCTTTGCAATCAAAAAAAAAACATAATAATGTTTTGGTCTTTTGCAAAAAAAAAACATAATGTTTTTTTTTTGAGAAATAAAGATTTTGTTTGAAAATGTAGCATAATAGAACTCTGCTGGAATCAAACAAGTGAAACTATGGATATTAAAAAAAACTAAGAATATCTAAAAAAAAAAAAAAGTTATACTATGTTGAGTTTTATCCTTATCATCTCAACATTATCTTTATTTTGCACTTTTTTCTGCCATGACCATATTTAAAGAGTGAAAATGGTAGGGTTTTCTAGATGGAATATTTTTTGATTTTTAAAAAAACTAAAGATAGTAATTATAGATATTAAAAACAATTACAGATAGAGAAAAAAAATTTCCGTCTCCTGTGCAAAACAGCTAGAAAGATAAAAGTGATATAACTCAAATCTTAAAAGCTTATGAAAAAAAAAAAATTTGTTTTTTAAAATCGTAAAAACAATATGCAATAATTAAGGATACGCTATTACTAAATAATTAACAAAGTAAATAGAAAAAACCATTCTTTCTTAAAAAAAAATAATATTATTAATCGATCTTGTCAGCTCATTCTTTCCATGGCTTTTTCTTCCTTGTACAGATGCTATTTCTAATATTCACAATTTCATTTCATAAGAACAACATTCTAAAGAACAAAAATTTTTCTATCGTTGCAAGAAATTGATGCAAAAAATTATTATCAGATATTGAGATCCATTATTCTCAATCACCAACATTTCGTATTTAATGTTAGAATTTATGTTTAAAAAGACTAAGAGAATACTTCAACAATGTCAATGTCATTAATAAAGACAAGTCAAATTATCATACAAGAGTCATCATACAAGAATCCGATCTTAATAGCTCTCCTAAATATTGTAAAGAACTTTTCTTCTAATTTATCTCTCGAACCTAATGACTAGACTTCTATACATTCCAAAAAAACAGATTTATCCATGTTTGATATCCAAATCACTACTGCAGGCCTTGCGATAAAGCGTCGAGCGATGTGAATTTTATGTCGTCCAAGAGCAATTTTGCGTGTAGCTAGGGCTATTTGCGTCGAGCAAAATATTTTTTGTTTGAGTATATTTAAAGATATTTTTTAGCGGAATTTTAATGAAGTAATTTACGATTATTTTAGGATTTAATTGGCGTCCTATGATTCAACCGAATACCTAATTTTAATTTAGAACCGAATATGAGAAATTTATTACACAACCGAAAATATTTACAAAAAAAATTAGAACCGAAAAAATTTCAATCAAATTTTCGATCGAAAGTCATTAATGATTTTAGAACCGAAAAAATTTCGATCGAATTTTCCATCGAAAGTCATTAATGATTTTAGAACCGAATTTCATTAAAATGGTTTACAACCGAAAGTTACACTGTTATCAAACATTGTATATATATATATATATATATATATATATATATATATATATATATATATATATATATATATATATATATTTTAATAAATATACCGAATTTCATTAAAATCGTTTACAACCGAAATTTACACTGTTATCAAACATTGTATATATATATATATATATATATATATATATATATATATATATATATATATATATATATATATATATATATATATATATATTTTAAAGAAATTTTAATTGTTTATTTTATTGTAAAACAACTGAAAAAAAAAAAAAAAAAGATTAAAAAAAGAAAGGATTTTGTAATTTGATCCTGCAATGAAAGTATACTTTTCGGTTCTAAAATTTTCGGTTGTGAAATATTTCGGTGATATTTTCAAGGATAAATATTTTCAGCTCTATCACATGACACGATTTAATTAAGTATTTTAAAAACCGCACGCAGTTGATATAAAAGTTTACAAAAAAAAAAATATGCTCATTATTTACAAGTAGAAAAAATTCAGATTAAAAAAAAAGTTTGAATCATTTTAAGCTAACATTTTAGTAAAATTATTCAGCAATAGCAAAGTTGTCGATAAAATTAAACAAAAATACTTTCTTTTAGTTTTAGATTTTTAACTTAAATAATTATTTTACGGTTGTTTGTTAGGTTTCAAAATTATTCCATAGATTAAAAAATGTTTATTAACTGTTAGACGTATTTAAAGTATTTATGAGTAATTTCAAGGAAACTTTTTAAAAGTTGGTAAGCGCAAATAAAAAAAAATAAATGGATTAATATTAAAACATATTCTACTTGATTCAATAAAATAGTACAGTTGGTAAAATTTTTGTAAAAAGTAACTCAAAAAAAATTACTTAAATAATAACAATCGCTTTTTTGTTAATAGTTACCGAAACTCAACGAAGCGTGCTCAATTCTAACATTTTATTTTATTTTACTAGAAATAAAATTCCTTGTAAACATTAAAAATCTATTCAAAACGTTCGTTTAAGTTTTTTAGTAATACAAGTGATTGTGCTTATCAACCGCTTTATGAAAATAAATAAAAATAATTAAAAAAATATTATATAAAATCGCTGGTAAAAATATTAGCTATTGCACAGTTTTTAATCGTACAATATTAAAACTTCCAGTTTATTACTCGCTGACTTTTTAAAAAGAAAAAATAATTATTTGAAAAACTTTAAAATACATATTTGAGAAAAAAAAAATCAAACATTAGCATATTTTATAATCTTTTTTAAATGTTTAGTTACGTTTTTTATTCGATAAGTATAGACAAAGCATGTCAAACGTCGAGTAAATAAACGTAAAAACGAAACATTCCAAAACATTTTTAAATAATAACATTTCTACATTGATAATTTAAAGTAGTTTTGCGGTAATTAATTAAATTGGTGCAGTTAATGTCGATAAATATGAACAGCAAATAAAAAGAATTTAATGACGTCAAAAATCACGTCGAGCTTATGCGTCGCGCAGTTTTTATTCATCACAAGGTCTGCTACTGCCTCCCCTCCTAAAGGCATTTCTTACTTAACTCTTATGTGTTGTGGTTTATATAATGTATTATATAACTATAACAATGTTATATTGAATGGTGCAAGCAACATTCTTATCATATTCTTACAAAGATTTACTCCAGAATTCTTTTCATTACTCTCAAAAATATTAAACTGTTTAACTGAATTTTTTTTTTTTTTGCCTAATCAAAAATACTATAGCTACATTTTCCTAAAAAATCTAGAAATTGCTCTGACCACTCTAACTACCACCCAATCAGTCCAGTTCCACTCTTTTTACTACTTTTAGCAAAGTCTTTGAAACTCAAATTAACAATTAAATAATACCTTATCTTAAAACCAATAACTTACTCTCTGATAATTGATACAAATTTTAAACTTTTAGTTCTATTGCTGACTTGACCGTTAACCATTATAAGAGTTATTAACCATTATAACTGAAAGGTTGTACTGTGTATTAGATGGAAGCAGCTAGGCAAGAGCAAATATCTCTTGCTCTTGACATATTAATAGCTTTTGATAAAGTCTGGCATGCTAGTCATCCCCATAAAATTGCTTTTTATGGTATATCCGGCAAGTTTTTAAAATTATTGCACCATTCTTTTCTTATTGCAGTTTGAAGGTTGTCCTTCATGGACAAAACTCACTTTCACTTCCAGTAGCATCTGGAGTATTTTATCAAGGTTCCATCCTTAGTCCTGTGTTGTTCCTTAACAATATAAATGATTTTTAAATAACCTTACCTAAAAGTGGCTCTTTTAGGTAAGGTTATCTATTTGCTGACAACACAATTATATACTCTAGTCTTGATAAAAAGTATTTTGATCAATTAAAACAAACATCGGATTTTGAATCTGTTTTTTTTTTTTCAATCTACTTATTTTTGGTCTTTTTTTAGTGACTGTGGCCCGCAGTGGCTGGTTAAATTTAATCCAAATAAGATAAATTGAAAATGTACTATGAACTAGCTGCTAAGCTTGAGCCTTTATCTTATGGTAATAAGTTTGCATCCCCCTTTTCTGTAAAAAATAACATGGTTATTATTATAACACAACCATCACTTGTACTATTAACCAAAACTCTTGCGTGATTTGTCAAATTGCATCTACTTACTTTAACTGTTCCTTTATGTTCAAAAAAGTTTTATTTTGATTTTTTCCTTAAACATCAGCACTTTTGAAAATCTTTTTAAAGTTTTTCTTCGACTTAACTGCTTTCTTCTTCTTAACTGCTCTTCTTTGCTTTCTGTTACCTACCAATTTAGATAGTGGTTGTTTGCAGCCCTGTAGTGAGTGAATTTATTTAAAATAAACCATCATTATTATTTTCATTATAATTATCTACAATAATCCCTAAAAATTATGATTTATCTTATTAAACTAGCCTTTACTTTTATTTTACAAGTCCTAACTCTGACTACAGTCGAAATAAAATCCTAGTAGTTACTAGACCCCAGTAGTTATTTGACCGGTTTTTTAGTAAAATATGTCTGAGAGAGTTTGGCTAAAAAATATATTAAAAGTACTTAAATGCTAAAGTATTAATAAAAAATGTTATAAAAATCTTTTCATCATTTTCTTTTTATATAAAACATATTTTAACAATTACTTTGCATGCTACATAATAAATAATAAACTGATAATAAAACTCCATTGTTATAGTTTATTTCAGCTTGTTAGTTGACTTTTATAACAGTCACCAATTTAATAAAAATATAAAATACAAAAAATATATAATTTTTTGATTTTATATAATCACATAACAAACCCTCAGATTTAGGAAAAATGAGGTCGGCAATAATTTGGTGACCTCAATCTTTTTGAGGTCGGCATCAGGTCAGCAAAAATTATTTAATACGAAGGTTTAAGCATAAAACATAGAAACGAAGTTGGCAATTTTTAGTTGACCTCAAACACTTTCAGGTCAGCAGTTAGATCGGCATTGCCAATCGAGGGTTTTGTAAATGATTTCAACAAAACTTATAAAGATATCTCTAACAAATCTGATGATTGCAATTATATGCTTACTAAAACTATTAGTTGTTAATGAACTGCTAGATATTCACGCACCTCATAGAAAACTTAATAAAATGGATATTAAATTTATGGCCAAACCATGGATCTCTGATGACTTAAAACTGTCTATTAAACATAAAAACAAATTGTTTAAAAAATATATACAATCTAATCCTATAAATAAAACTATTTATCATTCCGAAAGTTGTATAACTATTTTTACTATTCTTTTTTTGTTATTTATACAAAAACAAATAAAGATACTGAACCATACAATAGCAGCATGTTGTGGCAAAGATTGTCGCTTATTAACAACACGATTCCGTTGACTTAGTTTTGCTTGAATAGGTTGAGCATCTTGGTATTGAGGATTCAATGCATAAATTTGATCCAAATTTACCTTGATAAAATAAATAAATTTATCAGAATTCTTTTTAATTTAAAAGAACTATTAAAAAGTTGAGAACTGCAACAGTCTTTCAAAACTTGGTTTCAAAAGTCTTAAGTCTCACTTTTAACTATTCAACAATATTAAAATTAATGAAGGGGAGTTTTATTTAATATTTAAATAAAATAACTGTCAATTTTTAAAATTACAATATAAAAACAACCAATTAAAAATAAATAATAAAAAATTACCGTATAGATCAAAACAAAATAACACAGAAAAATATATATTAGGAACCATTTGTAACAAATATATGCCAAAACTCATAGATTCAAAAATAATTATTTTAAAAATCATTTTTCAAAGAAATGTTGAACAAGACAGTTTAACAAAAAAAATTTAAAAAGAATGTTTTGCAACAAAATGCAAGATTTGTTTTAATATTTATAAAATTTAATCTAATATTACTTGTTGGGAAGTTTTGAAAATTTAATAAATTTTTAACTTATAAAAACAAAATAAATGTGTCATATGTTTAAACTTGATTATTTATTGATGAGGATTTAACAATTTCTCTACAACAATATGAAAACCTTGAAAATTCAATAAAATACCTCTTTGCCTTTGGTTTCTCCATATTCAAACCACTCTACAGTAACATTTTGTGCATCAATATCAACTCCACTAACACTAGCTGAATGAATACGCCCTATTAAAAGAATTACATAAATATAGTTTCTAAAAACATGATTATTCAAATCCTGGTGAAAAAGCATGATTGTGGTGCCATAGATGCACTGATCTTATACACTAGACATCAGTCCTCTTAAAAGTTTTTCATTTATGCAAAACTTTCTTTTAGCTTTAAACTTGAGCATGTTTTAATGCAATATATGCTTGTATATATTTAATTAAAAAATTTATTATTCAAAAATACTTTAATAAAATTCTAAAGTATACTAGATGCACTAAATTTTTATTGCATTTATTTAATATTTTTTTTAATGTAAAATTAAAAGAATCTAATTATTTTCATTTATGTCTTAAATTTGACTCTCTTTTTTTAAGTTTTCCTATATAACTTTCCTTTAAATAGGCAACCATCTGTATCTTTATAATCATATTTTTAAATTACTAACACTTAGCCTCAAGCATTATTTGGTTTGAAGGCATTTAAAAAACATGTTAACAGATATGGTCAAACTTTCATTACAAAATTATTATTTGTGTGGTCAAATGTATATATATATATATATATATATATATATATATATATATATATATATATATATATATATATATATATATATATATATATATATATATATATATATATATATATATATATATATATATATATATATATATATATATATATACATATATATATATATATATATATATATACATATATATATATATATATATATATATATATATATATATATATATATATATATACATATATATATATATATACATATATATATATATATATATATACATATATATATATATATATATATATATATATATATATATATATATATATATATACATATATATATATACAGGGTGGCCCAAAAGTCACGCTACCATTGGAAAAACTCGGCGGTCTATTGTACTCACACAGAGAGCATACATGCGTCATTATCAAGTGAGGAATCCACCCTCTAAATCGGCAATCATTTGTCTAATTCATCGTTTCCAACAAAAGGGATCTGTGGTCGACTTGCCACGAGTCCGGAGACCATGTTCCATGTGAACCCCGAAAAACAGCTCTTGTGTTAAGCAAAGCATTGAACAAGATGCAGCAATGCCGACTCAACGCCGTTCCCGCGAACTTGGTATCCCCAGGACATCCTTACAGCGACTACAAAAGGATTTAAACATGAACCCGTACAAGATGCAATTAGTCCAAGAGATAAAGCTGATAGATTACCAGCGACGACGGGATTATGCAGTTTGTTTTCAAAAGATGGCAAGAGACGACAACGAATTTCTTTACAAATTAATCATGGGTGATGAAGCCCACTTTCACCTGAATGGCTTTGTCAATAAACAAAACATCAGATTTTGGGGTACTGAAAATCCGAAGGCCATCTATTAGCGTCAACTGCACTCACTCAGAGTCATGGTTTGGTGTGGTGTAACCCATACTTCTTCGAGGACGAGAAAGGCAATGCAGTAACAGTGACTAGGGCCCGATATCGTAAAATGTTAGAGAAATTTGTCCGTCCAGCTGTTCAGGACACACCGGAGGTTCAGTGGCAGCAAGATAGAGCGACTGCCCATACCGCGAGACTATGCAGCTCTTGAGGGACATGTTTGGAGAACGATTAATTTCAAGAAATGCCGATTTCAACTTGCCAGCAAATTCACCCAATCTAACCGTTCCAGATTTTTTTCTTTGGGGCTACCTAAAGAATCGTAATTACAGTACTAAACCCCGCAATATCCAGGAGCTGAAGGGAAACATTCGAACAGAAGTTCGAGCACTGGAACCGGACACGCTGATTCGTGTCATGCGAAATGCCCTGGAAAGGGCGCGTGCTTGCGAAGCAGCAAATGGAGGTCATTTGCGTGACGCTATCTTCCATAATTAGACCAAAAGAATTTCCCAATGTTATATTGTCATATACAGAAACATTATTCCATTTAATAAAGAAATAAAAAAGTTATTCAGTTTTTAAATGGCTATCGGCAATCATCAGCCATGAAATACAAAATCAAAAATATAAAAAACTGTTTAAAAATTACAAACTATGGTAGAATGAGTTATGACATTATAGAACAAGAAGACATAATGGAAAACTAATCTCCATTATCAAATAATGAAAGGAGAAATTTATTTTTGTGTCTATATTTAGAAACTAATTCGTCTCTTGTTTCGAAGGTTGTCTCCTTTGTAAAATAATATTTTGAATTTCTTGTTTAAACAAAGTTTACAAATTTTTGACGCAGGATTGTATGATTTACAGCGTTTAATAATATTTCAATTTGATTGAAGATGTAAAAATGTTTTCTTTTAATTCCCATAATTCCTTAGATATCTCAGTGTCGTTCTTATACTTTTTTATGTTTAAGGATTTTAAATGGTTTGCATAACGTAACTTTAAAAGAGGTTTTGCTTATCCTGATGTATACTTTATCTTTGTATTGAGGTTTATTTGAGAAAATTAAAAGTCATTAATTCTAATATTTAAATATAAAATATTTGGTTGTTTAAATATCCCCATTGAAATTGTCTGCACTTTTGTAGGATTATCCAAATTTTGCATTTAAACCTGATAGTTTATTTCCTGATGAACTATTGTTATTGATGATGCTCCAAAAGCTTGTGGACTAGTGCATTGTTACTTTACTTTTTTAACGAAATGTTTAGGAGTCGATTTAAAATTTTTCTTTAAGTTTTTATACACATTTTAAACAGAGCAATTATTATGTTCATTATCTCTAGCAATTTGTATTGATATTGAAAATTAGGAATTATAAAAGAAACAGTTTTAGACATGCATAAAATGCGGTGAATGCATTTATTAAAGAAACCATGTTATTCTTTTATTTAACTTATTTCTTCATTACAAAAATTATTAATCAAATAATATATTTTACAAATAAATATCAACAATAAATTTTCTTATTTTCCTATTATATAAGTATTAAAAAAAAGGTCAAATATAGCAAAAACATTTTTAAAAGCCAAAAGACGTACAAAACGAATAAACTTAAGAAAAAAAATTAACAAAATTTCTCATAGTTCTAGCATAATTAGTTTCTTAATTATATGGACTGATAAAAATTGTGAACAAATTACATATCAAAACTTTTAATTGTTGCTAAATCGTTATAAAAGAATATTTTTTTCAACAACGACTCTAAAAAAAAGAATATAAAAGTTGTATGAAAATTTTATTAAAAAAATGTTAATTATTAAATTTTCTAGTTTATTTAATTAAACTTAGTTTATGTTAAAATTTTGTTTCCTTTTTTTAAGATTTTTTTTTCTTAGTAAATAAGTTTAGCTTTATGCCACGAATTATTAAAACACTTTATAAGTTAAAAGATACCAACTCCCATGGTCAGTTTGTCTAAAAAAATTACTTAAAATGTGGACGAACAAGGTAAAAAATTTTGAAATTCGATTTGAAAAACATTCGAAAACTCAAATCATTTTTTCAAAATCGAATCTCGAATCAAAGTAACAATTGATTTGCAGGGCCCTAATATATATATATATACATATATATATATATATATATATATATATATATATATATATATATATATATATATATATATATATATATATATATATATATATATATATATATATATATATATATATATATATATATATATATATATATATATATATATATATGTATATATATATATATATATATATATATATATATATATATATATATATATATGTATATATATATATATATATATATATATATATATATATATATATATATACATATATATACATATATATATATACATATATATATATACATATTATATATATATATATATATATATATATATATATATATATATATATATATATATATATATATATATATATACATATATATATATATATATATACATATATATATATGTATATATATATATATATATATATATATATATATATATATATATATATATATATATATATATACATGTATATATATTTATATATATATATATATATATATATATATATATATATATATATATATATATATATACATGTATATATATTTATATATATATATATATATATATATATATATATATATATATATATATATATATATATATATATATGGGCAATTATATATATATATATATATATATATATATATATATATATATATATATATATATATATATATATATATATATATATATATATATTATATATATATATATGGGCAATTCCGCAAGAAAGAGGAAAAAAAAAAAAAAAGTTAGAAAGACACATACTAACCTCAATAAACTCTTTTTTTAACTATACTTTTAAGCAAAAAAGTTATTCAAAAAGTTATTTTATCATACCATAGCATGGCTTTGAAGTTGTAAGGGTTATATAAACGTTTTTTGACGTTTTTATATAGTCCTATTGTGAAGCGTTAAAAAAGGTTTCAATGCTGCGTTTTTAAGTAACTATTACTTCTAAGTTTGACTTAAAGACATAAATAAACATTATGTAAATCATTTTTTATAAAAACGCACTATAACTATGTATAGAATAAGAATATATTTATCAAATTAATGCGCTACGACCGTCACGAAAAAAAGTTGAAAAGTTTTTCCTAGGCTTCGTATTAGACTTTATAAAACTAAAAATATAGTAAAAGTAAATATGCTGATATAAGTTTTATCATCGTTTCAATTTTTTTTTAAAAAGAGCTTCAGATGATTGTATTAAGATGTAAACAAAGTATGTTACGACCATCACGATATGCTTGTTTTTCCATAACGGCTTCTTGACTTTTGAATAAAAAGTTTAAGCAAGAACGATTTTATTATTGAAACCAAGTTACAAATCAATTTCGTTTGATTTTCTGTTTGTTTACTCAATATATTGATAAGCTTGTTAAAGTTTTTCCTATTTCTTTTTTAAAATATACATCACTTATTTTAAATAATTGATGTAAATAAATTAATATTTGTAAAGAAATAAAAACT